GTCACTGCAGAAGCTGTGTTTTATTTCTATATATGTCTAATCTTTTCACGTAATCCTCCAAATCATAGGATAATGATATAGCAATTGTGCCTGAAGATCTACCACTCATCTCTTTTGAAATGTCATACGGAGTAAAAATCTACTTGGGAATTGTTTTTACCATTCTTCTCTCACTGTAAAGAACAGAGTACTGATAGGATGCTTCAGTGCTGAAATGACTCTCATTGAAAGGCACAAACAAACTGTGCTCCCAGTTCATGACAGCCAGTGTTGTAAGTCTCCCTTCTGATCCTTGATACACCCACATGCTACCCCATGCATTCACTCACCACCCCACCTCTCCACAAAATATCCACTCCACTTTGATGATGAAATTGCAGTTCATCAGAAAGATTAACCCAATTTGAAAATTACAAATCTTTTTTGTCAGAAAGTCATGCAAAGAAGAATGATTGAGATTCCGAATCATTTGAACTCCCAAAGACACAAAAAATGGTCATGAAACCATATTGCAGGCAAAATGCTCATTGACCAAAATGATGGTTAAATGTTAGCCATCTACTGAGAATTCAGTGGGAGTCTTCATCTTTTGAGTTCTTTAAAAACACTTGAAAAATAAGCTCAGCAATTTGCTGTTGGCCTACCTAAAGCAGAATAAGAAAAGCCTTCTGGATGACCTTTTCAGTTGACTGATTTTACAAATATTGGCTTTTCCGGGTCATTTTAATCTTCTTTAAAATGTAAACTATAAAAGAATGTGATTAAAGTTTTAAAATCCCATAGGAAACATGTTAACTAAAGTATCTTTCATTTTAGTTTCTTGTCAGTTAACATTTTTTATTAACTTAATTCTTTCTAAAATACAATAACTCATAGGAGCTTATTCTTTTGAAATTATTCCATTCATTCTTAAGTCTATTAATATATACACATAGAGGGCATCTGAAATGACATTTACCAAATTCTACCAATGGTTACATCTATGTGGTGGGATTTAGGTTTTTTCATCTTTTTTTTTTCTTATTCTTTCATGAACTACTTGACTTTTTTAGAAGCATGTAGCATTCTTAAAAAAAGGGGGAGGTGGAATCACCAGGGAAATCATTATATGATAGTGCTAGAAGGCGTTGTTTATCCCCATTCTTCTCGAATCTAACCACCAAGTTTTTCCTGTTCTTCTCATGCTGTAACATAAGAAACATTTTGCTAGAGGTTAACTCCTACACGTCAAAATTTCCGCATTGATATCAAATGACACATGGGCAAAATGTATGGGGATAATAAGTCACTGCTACTCGCCACGCCTGAAATGAACAGGAAAATGAACGATTCCATTGTAGAGTTTCGTGAAAGAGTTTAGGGATAAAGAGTATTTTTGGCCCTTGCACAGACTGGCAAGGAGTATTTTGCTCCTTTGGCAGGCTGGGTCCACATGAACAGCCTCAGAACCAGATGTAACCATAACCTTCAGTCGAAACAAATATCATCAGGAACCGTCCACATCCATCAGAACACTGTTTGCCACCACAGTTCTAAACAAGTCTCTATGATTCCCTCATTTGCTTTATTTTTATCTTGTCTCCCTTTTGTCTTTTTCTCGTGTTGAGATTAAAACATTGTCATTATTGTTGTTATGTGCCATTGAGTCGGACTGACTCATGGCAACCCCTCCTTGGAATTCCGAGGCAGTATCACTACAGAAGTAGATTGCCCAACCTTCCTTCTGAGGACTGGCTGGCGGGTTTGAACGGCCAGCCTTCTGGTTAGCAGTCAACTGCATCAGGCACTATGCTACCAGAGCTCCTTCAGATTAAATGACCATACCAAAAAAAAAAAAAAAAAACTCACTGCCATCAAGTCAATTTGACTCATAGCAACCTTCCTTGGGTTTCCGAGCCAGTATCTGTACGGAAGTAGATTGCCCAATCTTCCATCTGAGGAGTGACTGGTGTTTGACCATAGAACGCTTTAAAAGGGCACTGCTTCTAAGCATCCCCTAAGGCTTCCTTGTGCCTTGACTAAATTTTCCAGCCTGTGCTCAGTGAGATGAGGAAAATCCAAAGGACTTACCGCCCTTTATAAGATTTTGTTGAAAGGGAAGAACAAGCAGAGTTGGGTTTGTCATATGTGATTTTATTCAAAATTAAAAATGGATTTACCTTTGTGGAATTCCTTCCTCGGAGAGGCCTGTCCCTACTCCCTGATTCTATTATCTCACAATCCTAAAAGGGGCAGGAAGGAGATGATGGCTTCAGAGGACCAGAGTTAAAATGCTGAAGTTAAAAAGTTCACTCTTCAGTTAGCCCACATGTATTCAATGCCTATAAGAAACCAGCATTCGGTGCTT